AAAACTAACCAACTAAAAAGCTAAAAACAACAATATGACGATAACAAAATATAAGTTTTTATTGAAAATGTGTGTAAAATAAACGTAAAACATTACTAATTTTATTAAAGAGTAAAATTTTTGATTTATTCAATTGTCGTAATGTCTTAAGAACAAAATTGTTTTTAATATATTTTTATATTGTCAGTCTAACAACGTTATCTGCTCAGAAACGATATCTGGTACTTTTTGGACCAAACCATGTAAATATTTAAGGGAAACCATTCTAAACAACCCATCTCATTGTTACAATTTTTTCACATTTTTTTGTGTTTTACACGATTCCCATTTTTTGTACAAAAATACAGCCATTTTATTTTGATCAGATTACGTTTACGAACAGATAACGTTGTTAGACTGACTCTACGCAATTTGTCGAGTTTTCGACAAAATATATTTTAAATGTTATTTCTTTTTATTTTTGAATAATAAATTCTTAAACACTTTATTGGCTTAATTTTTTTAAATATTAATATATGTATTGTTCTTATATAATTTTTATATAAAATGTTAATGTATTAATTGTTATGAATAATGCATATTATAAACAAACTGAAAATATATAAAGAAATATAGACTGATGTGTTTTATTGTATTTATTCTACTTGCTGTTTATGGACAAAACTGTTATTTAACCCAAATTACAACAACATACACACACTCTTCATATTGTCGATTGCAAAACAATTTGTTAATTGGACTCGAAAATAACACAACAAAATTTACGTTTACAATGAGCCACAATTCCAGTATTAATTGTTACAATATTGAACCACTAAATAATAATTATCAAATAATAGCGCATGGTTATTCGCAAATTGTGATGGAACCATATTCCAGCTTTATTGATGTTAACGCATTAATTTTGACCGAAAATAGTTTTCTCAGTATGACAAACAGTTCTATTTATTTAAAAAATAGCACTCACATTTACTTAAATGGAGGTGCTAGCGCATTACTTGACAAATGTTCTAAAATACAACCAATAGTTCGGATTCAACATCAACAATATTTTTATCTGAAAAATCTGTTATTATTTTTAAAAATAGATCTTCGTGTACAAATTTTACTTCAATAGATATGAAAAATTACTCCGCTTTACTGATGGAAAATAATTCAAATGTTGTGTTATCGGGAATGTTATATTTAAAAAATTACTCAAAACTAACAATGAAGGAAAACTCATACTTTCAAATTAATAGTGGAATAACAGCAACTGGAAATTCTTCTTTAACATTTAAAGATAACTCTTTACTTAACACAAGCTTACAAATCAATTTATATGACATTGTCAAAATTATTTTAAAAGATAATTCCAATCTCCAAATGGGTAGTGTTAATATTATAACGGGGACTTTAAATATGTACAATAATACAAGCATTACAACAAGTGGTACTTCTATAATAAATTGTTCCATCTTAAAATTGTTTGACAAAAACACATCTTTGTTTATGACAGACAATTCTAAAATCAATATTTATATCTATTGTTCTTTAAATGGGAATATCAGTTTGACAAATCAGGCAATATTAACAGTTAATGGAAAACTCTCTATTAAAAACGAAGGAACAACTACAATGAATGATAACACAAAAATCGAAGCTAACCAGTGTTCGTTATCTTCCAATAAATTTGAAATGAATGGAAATGCAACATTATCTTGCCAGGACAAGTTAGAAATAAATTCACTTTTTGTTCTGAAAGACAATTCTAATGTTTCAGTTAAAGGAGATGTTATATTATCTGATGATACTCAAATTTATATAATGGGACACTCAGCAATAACAACAAATGGAAACGTTGTGGTTGGTGGTCAGTCATATATATTTAAAACGTTGAATATGAACGAAAGTTCAATTTTTAAAATCATTGGAACACTTGTTACTGATTACAACACGACTTTGATAATGCAAGGAAATTCAATGATAAATTCCACTCAGTTTATCACATTTTGTGGTAATTCCAGTGTATTTCTTAATGATAATTGTACTTTAAAAACACACGACTCAATTTTTATGAATGGCAATAGTTCTTTAGAAATGAATGGAACTGCATTGATTGAAACTCAAAACAATTTGTATGTGACAGATAACAGTACATTATTGATGGATCAATACTCTAAAATGTATATCGGTGGGTTTGTCAAAATACATGATGATTTTGAATATCAACCGCCAACAGATACACAAAAGTATTACAAAGGTGGTTTAAAAGTGTATCAAGGCGCTTCTCTGACTTCTTCGAATGTGACAATTATAAAAGGAAACTTGTTTATAAGTGGTATATCTGATCACAAAGAAGATATCCCAAAAATAGAAGTAGACAATTTTGGTTGTGCAAATGGGTTTGTATTTTTTGGACAAGACTCGTTAATAATAACTCATACGAACGTCAACTTGTCTTTATGCATTTTAGACGTTTTTTCTCGAACAATTCGTGATATCCCACTATTCATCACTCGTAACTTCGATCAAAGAAATTTTACTATTACGACTACAAATGATTTTGATTTAATTTATACCGACAATGTTTATTCGGGAAGTATAAATGGCATGTCAAAATTATTAAATGGCAAATTGACTCGTATGGGGAGTTCAGAGAAAATATTTTGCCATTTGAATAAAGTCGATTTATCAACAAAAAGATGGAATTATAAGGAACCATACTGTCCTCTTGAAAATGACGTCGATTGGTACATCACACCGTTGTATAACGTGACTTCAATGTTGATTGAAAACACGACAAAAAGTGACACAATGGTATTGAAAAGACACCAGAAACAAGCTGAGTTGTATTCAGATGAAAGCGCCACAATATTTGATACACAAATTTCGTTTTATAAAACTGACAATTTTGTTGTTGGTATTTTAGCAAACAAAGTCACTGAAATATCAACAATGAACTTATCAAAAAATGTTTTATTTATTTCAGAAACAAATTTATATCATGAGGGAATCACATTTCGTGCCGCTTTAAACAAGAATTACATATTAACACCAATTTTGTATCCAAATTGTGAATACCCATTAATGTACAATAAAACTAATCATTCATGTTATTCAACAATAGAGTGTAGTGATACAAATTGTAAGTATTGTCCATTAGATACACGGTATTGTGTTCAATGTCATTCTTCGTATTCTTTAGAAAGCGGGAAGTGTGTTAATATAACAAATTGTTTATATACAAAAGCAAATCGGTGTCTGTCTTGTTCCAAAGGATATCATTTACAAACAAATGGTACGTGTAGTCTGATAAACAACTGTGCTATAATCGAGTTTGATGGAAAATGCCAATTATGTAATTACAACAAACAGTTGATTAATATAAATGGTTATTGTATTGAAAAAGATTCCAACATTTCAATTTCAAGCGAACACACCATTGTTTCGTGTAACAAAGGGTTTTATATTAATTCATCGACGTGTAAAAACTGTACAGACACAAACGTCAACTCATTGTGGTGTGAAAATGGAAAAACGACGAAGTGTCAGTCAACAAGTGAAATGACACCAAATGGAAAATGTGATATTAAAATATGTGACAACAAGAATGAGTCCAATGTGAGATGTTCAGTTGACATACCAGACTGTCTGTATACCACAAACAACAAGTGTATTGAATGCAAACAAAATTATTATATTTTTAATGATACATGTCAATTGTTGAATGACTTACATTGCTTGTTGTCAAACACATTAGGTTGAACATCATGTGAAAAAGGTTTTTATCTTACAAAAACTCAAAGTTGCGAACGTTGTGATGACAATTGTTTGACCTGTATTTCTAATTCGAGAAAGTGTCTAAGTTGACAAATGATTATTTCCTAACTAATTACAAATGTGAAACAAATGATAACATAAAATATAAATGCAATTCGTTTTCAAAAGACGGAGGGTGTGTAATTTGGAAAAATGGGTATTACAGAGTTGGTCTTGACTGTTACGACTGTGATGTTAAATGTGAAACGTGTAATAACAATAACACGTGTCTTTCTTGTAACTCAACGAATTATAGAACTAAAAGTGGAAAATGCCTTCCACAATCGTGTTTAGTTGGATGTGATAATGTAACATCAGACGGCTGTTTAAAATGTTCAGAACACTATTTTCAAATCAATGGAAACGAATGTGAAAAGTGTGATGAGAATTGTAAAACGTGTTCTTCACAAACAATATGTGTGACTTGTTCTTCTGATATGGTTATATCTTCAAATGATAAATGTCTTAATCTAATTTCCATTTCAAAATGTCTTGAAATTACAAATTCACAATGCACAAAATGCAAATTTTGGAATTCACCCAATTTAGAAGGGAAATGTTGTGAAACTAAAGTGGTGTGGTGGGTCATATTAATATCCGTGTTAATAATAATAGTCATTTTTGTCGTCATGTTTATTGTGATAGTTTTGATTATAAGAACAATTTTGGCACATCTTCATCAAAAAGAAGTTGAAAAGACGACAACTATATTTGCAATGAAATCATCAAATGTTAATTTCATATTACTTTGTGGGGGAATAAGCGTGCAGAGTAAAGAAATTGATTTTAATTCAGACATCGAAGAAATGCCAGTTAATGAAGAAACCAAACAGACTTTTTGTGTTGGAAATTCATCGAAAAATGTTGTTAAAATTCAATTCACAATTTCTTCAAAAAACAACAAATTAACAATCAGATTTGATCCAGAAATAGTTGTGTTGAAAAGTGGGTTTGCTTGCGAATTTTCAATATATTTAACACCACAGTGTACTTGTCATATCACTGATATTATTCAAATTGTTTCTAAAAATATTAAAAACGGAAAAGAATGTTATAATTCAATCACTATCATAGGAGTGACAAAACAATCAACAAGACTTGATTACGACGAGTTGATAGAAGAGAAAAAACTTGGTGAAGGCTCTTTTGGTGTTGTGTTTAAAGGCACATTCAGAGGAAACACAGTAGCCATCAAAAAGATGAAAAACAGTAATGATGATAACAAATTAATGAAAGAGTTTGAGAAGGAAGTTGCAATGTTAGACAAGTTCAGAAATGAGTATATTGTTCACTTCTATGGCGCCGTGTTTATTCCAAGTCACATTTGCATGGTTTCTGAATTTGCAGAATATGGGAGTTTACAGGAATTGATCAAACACAAAAAGGGTGATGAAGTTGACATGAAGTTGCGTGTCAAAATGCTGTTGGATGCAGCAAAGGGAATATTGTATTTACACACAAATGGGATATTACACAGAGACATCAAACCAGACAACATTCTTGTCTTCTCAATTGAACTGAACGATGATGTCAATGCAAAATTGACCGACTTTGGAAGTGCAAGAAATGTCAATATGATGATGACCAACATGACATTTACTAAAGGTATTGGAACACCAGTCTATATGGCGTTTGAAATATTGAATAAACAACACTACAAAAAACCAGCCGACGTGTTCTCGTTTGCAATTACTATGTACGAGACAATTTCATGGAAGGACCCATATCCAGAAGAAAAATTCAAGTTTCCATGGAAAATAGCCGAAATCATTTCGTCAGGAAAACGATTGAAGCGAATAGACTCAATACCTGTTAATTTGTTTAATTTTATAAACAACAGTTGGCAACAAGACGCTAAAAATAGAATACAAATTGAAGTTGTCGTCGAAACAATTAAAACGTACTTTGATGATAATTGATTGTTTTGTGTTAGTTAAAGATAATTACTACAGTAAGACCTCGATTATTTCCAAACCTTGACATTTTCCAAACCTCGACAAATTCAAAGATCTGATTGGTTGTTTGAAGTTTTTTGGAAAAATGCGAGGTAATCTTAAGTTAGTTAATTTAATTATTAGCTGATATAACAATTTACTAAAAAAATTCAAAATCTTCAATTTGGAAAGTGTCAAGGTTTTTAAAATAAAAAAAATGGAAATAATCGAGGTCTTACTGTATTTGGTATTTTAAAGTTGGAATTATAAAATTTTTTCATATTTACCAATGTGATAGAAAATTTATTACTTTCGTAAATGTGATAAAACCACAATGTTTACAAAAGTGGGTAATAAGGGGAAAAATAAAGGTATTCAAAAACAGCAAGTTTTTTTTAAAAAAATAAGGATTAAACAAATTTGTAAGTAAATAAGATGTTTTAATAACAAACAATAAAAAATAAAAAATTGTGTATTTTTTTAGTTTTTAAAAATATATTAAATATAATGACAGTTAAAATTTTTATTATTAGAATATTATGTCATTAATTATTTATATCAAAAACTAACAATATTCTTTTTGTACCTTTTTTTAAAGTGAAGAAGAAAATAACAACTTATTGCAAAAAGGAGTACAAAATGAATACAAGTATAAATACATTTAAAATGTGTTTTAACAATGCGAATTAAACAATTAAATGTATTTTTTAAGTTCAATTCAAAAAATGTAAACAAAATATTATAATGACAGAAATATGGAATAAATTTAATAATAACTTTTTAAATAGACAAAATAAATATGATTTTTTAATGTATATAATAAGTGCAACACATTAAGTTGTATAAAGTATTTTTAATATTATTTTATTGATTTAATTGGTTAAATTACTTTTTGTTTTTTCTGGCAATAAATTGTATTTAAGTACACTTTAGTATTAATTAATTTCAGACATTTAATTTAATTATTACTGTGTTTTGAACACATAATTTGAAAAACATTTAACCAAAAATAATTTGTTTATTTTATATTATTTTTATTTTTTAATTGGGCGTTATTTTTTTGTTATAAAGATTGTAGTATTTATTTTATTTAAAATTAATAAAATGATAGTTTTATTTTTGAAAAAACGCCAATATGAATAAAGTTTTTAGCTTTGGTTGAAACATTCATTTTAAATTATAAAATTACACAAAACAACATTATGTCACAACATTTATTTACCTTTCAAACACTGTCTTGTTTATGTATTTAGTTTCTAACCATCTGTGGATATATCTCATCTCCTTTTCAAAGAATTTGTCATTCATCTCATCGTTTACACCAAGTGTATAAGGTTCCGTTTCAATTACTATTATTTTCTCCATGACGTTGTTAATATGGTTGTTTCGAACCATAAAGAAATAACATTTGTTATCAAAAATTGAGTATTCACCAAGCCCCTTTGACGCAACATAATTCCCGAACAAAAACCCCCAATTAGT